AGGCAGGTGTACGACAATGGATCCCTGACGTTGCAAGAAGTGTCCGAAATCGACGGAGGTCATTATTTATGCCAGGCATCTAATGGAATTGGTGCCGGACTAAGCAAAGTCATTCATCTCACTATCCATAGTATGTTCACCACATAAATAATTTCCGGTCCAATTTCTTCTTTGTACAACCCCCGGGATCATTTTATCCAGGGTATTTACTCGGACTCTGACGAATGGGACCTCTTTCATTTCGGGGGGGATGAGGGGAGGTTAGCACATAGGGCAAGTCAAGAATGAATTGCTTAAGATTCTGACCATGAAAATGGAAGGGCCATATTGAGGATTATCCAAGAAACACAGAATGTATATATGTTATGGCTAGCACTGTTTGCTAGAATAGTTTGTAGTAAATTTTATTTTAGTTACAAAATAAGTATATACATATGTCTTGCATAGCTGCATTCATGATGTAGTTGCTCTTAAATGTGGAAAATTTTTGGTAATAGTTTAATGTTTTCGCATTTACACAATTTCGGTTAAGCTTTACATTCTGAATATAGAAATTGGAAGATTACATACGCATGTGTTTTCATGTTCATGCGCATATTCATATGCACATATACGCCTATGCAAGAAACTAAGCATGTAACCATGCAGGGTGGGGGGGGAAACTTTAAAAATTCTTTATTGTAAATTTAAAATTACTTATTGTATTATTATTTATATGTGATTTGCAGGAAAACTAAAAGAGGGTCCTTTCCTGATTAATTCTCAGCTTTTCTGTGGATAATCGTTGTTGTCAGAAGTTGATGAAAGATCTAAGAAGTGTATTATTTTCCCCAAGTTAATTTTGCTATAGTTATGTATTATTTTGCTTTTAAAATTTAAATGTAAGGTAAGGATCTTTACCAGCTCTCTCTCTCTCTCTCTCTCTATATATATATATATATCGTTTTAAGCTTATTCTCGATGAAACCGAATTTAAACTCAAATATTTTCTCCAGAGTTAGCTTTTGAAGTCAGAGCACATTTCTTCACAAGTTCTAACTGTGCTCTCAAGCGTTTTACTATTTTAGTGGAATTATAATAAAAAGAAGTTTCAGGAAATCATGGAAAAATTTATAAGAATACTAACTTTTATTGACGTAAATTACATTTTAAAAACGAACTTTCAGTAATTCAGTTACAACTGACTTCACTTTATGATTCCTGTCTTCTTTGTTGCATTTGTCTTTAATTTATTTGCAGCTGCGAAAAGCAATAAAATTGAAATCGTAATTTCCGTTTTTTTAACTTTCTCTTAGTTGTAAATGAAGGAAGCCATACTGTTGAGACTTCAGTTTTTGTTATAATTGTCTTTTATTTATTTGCAGTTGAATGAAGTGGTCATGTTGAAACTGTAACTTCTGGCTTTGCGCTTGTTTTTTGTTTAATTGAAGTTGAAGAAGACGATAATGCTTTTGATTTTCTTATAGTTATTTTCAGGGCCGATTTTTGTAACCTCGGGAGCTTCCGCAAATTAGGATATATAGGCCCTCCTCAATAGAATCCCTTTCAAAACTGTATTTTCAGTAGAAATCATCAATAAAAATTAAAACTGCAGTGCAAATTTAGAATTCTGTGGAATAAAGAAGAGTATAAAATACATATAAGATCGCATTTGTACAATTACCTAGATGTTTACCATGTAAACACGACTCTGATGTTTAGGATGCCCGTGCTGGTTAAACTGCTTAAATTGCGAACGAAGCCTAAAGACGTTATTCAAAATTCTAGTTTAAAAAAATCCAATCTTTAGATGTTTCTCCCCCCCCCCAATTGAAAATAAATCTTCAGCAATATATCGATTTTATTGTTTCAACAGGTAGATGGTTTCCTTGAAATACTCCATGGTCTTTCATCAAAAAATAACAAGGTCGTGCCTTTGTGTGTTAGGCAATTACATGACAGAGAAAAACCAAAATTACTTTTCCTAGCATCGTAATTGAGGTAACTGCTACTGTGGCAAACGATCGAATCCACTAATTATCCGCAATATCTTAATATCCTCTATGCGGTGATATCATATACGTTACAATCGTAAATGAGGGATGTGGCAATGCAACCTTGAAGTGCCTATTTCAGAGTAATTGAGCCCATGGATTTCTACCTTTTGTTCGCCATTGACGTGGAGTATCGGTGGTGAAAGTATGATATTTACCTAGTTCAGTCTTAATTTTGATCTGGAATAATCCGGGAGACAAAATTTAATGTGGCGCATTTTTATCAGTTTAGTGGCATTTGCGCGCATGACATTTGTGCACAAATTGAAACATAGCGACACTTGCACACAAGAAACATTCTTTCCTGTCCTGTAATAGTAATTTGTAATTAATCTACTTTACGAAATTTTAAGCTATTCTGTTTCACATGTACAATTTTAATAAATTATTTATATTATGCATATGTTAACGTGTAAAGAATGATAAATACCTTAGGGAATCAAGAACCCTTAAAATGTCAAAATATAGCCAAAATACATTTTACACCCATGTAATAAGACATTTTAAAGCTGTTTAAAACTGGTTTATGATAGTGAAATTTTGTATACTTATTTCTCGGTATCCTTAATAATACATTTGATACATTTATTTTATAATCCAGTTATTTTAAATAAAATACCTATTTTGCCATCTGCATAATATTCTAATATGTGTTGCTCGCAGCATTTTATAAAAAAGCAATATTTGTAGATAATAATTAAACATAGTTTCTTGAAACACATAATTCTTATCCATACAATTAGTCAAAATTTTTGAATTTCTATAGAAAAAGCTCAGAAAAATCGTACATGCAAACAAACAAATTCCATTTTTGTAAAACCTTAATTGGAAAATGAAATAGCCTTGAAATCTTATAAACGCGTTATTTTCATAAAATATAAAATTCAAAATCTGATGTGTACATGACATGATTTCCATGTACGGAATATTAAATTTACGCATTTTTCCGGCATTTAATTTATACTTCCTCGAATTTCATTAGTATCTCTCATTCGATTGATTCGGTTGTCATTTTACATTCGATTAATTCAGTTGTCATTTTATATATTGGCAAGGTAAAAATACATAAAATCTCAAAATAAGTCCCATAAAAATTAAAAGATGTAGAAAAACATAAAACACCAAATACAATTAAAACAATAAAAATACAAATTCTACAATCAAAATTTCAGTTTCTACGCAAAAACAAGCAATTCGGCCATCAGGCAAGAAGACAGATTTTTCTGTGCAAAAAACTAAAATATTCTTTTGGTCCCACTCGGCAAAATGATACTTGAAGGTGCATAAAAACTTAATTCACTATTATGCTAAATTTCAAATGTAAACAAATATGGTTGCTATGCTAAAAAATAGGCTTAGCCACACTTAAACAACTTTTAAATTGTTGATAATTCTACAACTATCCCATGCAGATTAATAAAACCCTTAACCGGAAGATAAGAACAACATAATTCAATGGTTTTTAAAGCAAAAAATGCACAATTTATCGATACATAAGAATAAAAAAAAATGAGCTCACAGAGCCTAGTAACAGAGTGGGTACATATATATATACATTTTTGGTGCCGCCGATTGCTCCAAAAAGGAAGGTGTATAACTACATGCTATAGCAGTTCTATATACAAAATTTCAATCTCTCTGAGTCTACTCTTTTTTGAGTTATGCGAGATAAGCACATAAGTACGTACGTACAGACGCCACGAAAAAAGTCTCTTCTGAATCCATTTTATAATTCCAAATCAATTTTATAATTCGTTTGGGGAAAAAGAGTCCTTTACTCTGTCCTTACGTACAGATGTCTGGCAAAAATATCCTTAAATATTCTGCATTCGATAGCGATCAAAATGGAAATTTGCGATCAAAATGGAAATAGTCAAATACATGTAGACAGATATGCTATTTAGTTACCTCTTCTATCATGCGTAACTATATATTTGTATAAAACTGCATGCATTTTTCTGAAACGCAAACTGCCTGGCTCTTTAAATCACGGATGTTTAAACGCGAATGCTTTTTAGTTCCTTGTATGAAGAGACATTAGGTACTTTTTTGGAAGCAGGCAAGATGACAAATTAGCAACGTCTTCGCCGGGAATCGAACCGCGAATCTCTCAATTATGCGTTGAGCGTGCAGACCATTACACCACGAAGGGTCGCTAAGAAGGCGGGAGAAATAGCTTAAAACGTAACTGAAGTGTTGTAATCAAGAAAAATTCCGGGTATCATGTTTCAACGAAAATATCCATTTTGACCGCTATCAAACGCAATTTAACAATGTTATGGCGTGGCATCTGTACGTAAGGACAGAATAAAGGACTCTATTTCCTCAAACGAATTATAAAACTGACTTAAAGTGGATTCAGAATTTTTTTTTCCATGGCGTCTGTAAATATGTATATGTACGTACGTATGTATGTATCTCGCATACATACGCATAATAAAGCTGACTCGCTCCTGTACAAAGCTGTGCATCACTTCAAAACATACCTGGAGCCTCAAGCGATGAAGGCGCAGCCGAAGGGCGACCGAACAGGAGATCAGAAGGTTGACGAAGGTCACGACCGAAGATCATCTCGGATGGGGGAATAGCCGGTAGTCTCGTGGACAGCACCGTGATAGGCCAGTAAAAGCAAGAGATAACAGATTTCCCTAGTCATTTTTTTTAATCTTTTTAAATCACCAAAGAGAGTTTATTAAGGATAGTTCGATAAAGTTCTCTACCATGCCATCTGACTGGAGATATAACGGTGTTTGCTGAGTTTTGCTGATGCCGAGCGGCTTAGATGAAATTTCTTCCTTGATCGAAATTTAACTCAAGAGGCACTGAGAACCAGGAAATGTTGTATCATTACCTCTACTACCGTGACAGCCTCTTGCATGAATGGGATACGCTTCAAACCACTTGGTAAGGTAATCAATGACAACGAGAATGTAGTATTTGTTGCCATCAGCAGTTGGTGGTAGAGGTCCCAGGATGTCAAAACCGATGCGTGTAATAGGTGCTCATGCATTAGAATGCTGCAGCTTACCACAGCTGCGTTTCTTCTGTTCTTTCCGACGGCACAGATTTTATGAGCATAGACTTTTGTGTCTATATG